TAATACTTGAAAATTCAAATTTTCACAAACTTTAAAATGCTACAGAATATTAACAAGATATTTTTTTACCAAAATTTTTCTTAAAATCTACTCTATAAAATAGCTATCTTAGATATTTTTTTACATTTTATTTAAAATTTAAAAATAATTACTAGTTTTAATAAAATGTAAAAAGATGAATTATGGATTGATATATAATTATTGACCTAACGTATAACTATTATTTAAAAAAAAATCAGCTAAAAATATTAACTGGATCAATAGTGATTTAAGTTGTCAGTGAGTGCTGGGCCATTCTGTGTACATTCTATTTTTTTGTTTATTCCATTAAAAATAATTTTAAGCTAAATTAATTTTTTTTATTAAATCTAATGCTCTTACTAAAAAAATAGTCAGAAATTATTGTAAAAATAATTTTCTCAAATTTAAAAATATATTTTGTTTGTTTGGATTTTTGCCATGATAGTGTTGTTTTTATTAAAAACATGCTTTCTTGAATATAACCAGACAGCTATAGTTTACTAATAAGGTAATTTGTCATGTAGCTTCTATGTAAGTAATGATTAATAAAAGTACAAAATAATTTATTCCTCAAGTCGTTAAAAAATAAACAATTTCTATTTAATATAGTATCTATATAATATCACATTATTTTATCATAATGTGTTGATCGATCACATCGATATATAGTGTAAGATTTCAAAAGTAATTAGTTTTTTTCCTGCGTGACTGTTAACAGTCTTAACTCATTAGATTTGATTAATATTCATACATATATTTTTCCAACTGTCTTATTTATATATCACTATTTATAGTACTATGTTTTGCTTTTTAATTTTTTTATGTCATAAATTCAAGTTAGTTAGTATAAATAACGTTCTGATGTAAAATATTATAGTAGTACTGGAAAAATATTTGTTTACATCATGTATGACTTAATGGATTATGGGGTCATGTGTTATATAGGCATGGCTTTCTATTTCCGTTATAAATTAATAGTATTTTAAAAATGAGATATATTTATGATTTAAAAACAGTAGTCCTTCTATAGAAGGACTAAAATATGGACTATAGTTCATATTTTTAGTTATTAAAATTTAATGATACTTCATTATGATTAGCATTAATCTCATTACATCCCTTAGGGTTAGTCATTAAAATAATTGATACAAGAATAACTAACAAGTATAATTTTTACTAAATGACAATTTTTCTGAAGTATTCTCCACTTTTACTTAAGATTTATAAAATTAATACAGTTATCACTGTAAAATACTGTATTTATTAACAAATAGTTACTAGTATTAACATTACATTTAAAAATTATAACATAAAGTAAGAGAAGTAAAATTATCTTTGTAATTTATATTAAAAAGAGTATGTTGTAAATTATTATTATTACTTATTTTTTCTATTTAATTAATATAAAAATATAATACATATTTTTTTTATATTTGTATAATAAATTTAATACAAATAATTAATTAAAAAATTTTAAATTAAATTGATAAAAAGGTTTTATTGTAAGAGGGAATAATAATGCACTTTACAAATATAAAAATGCCTTACTGAGATAAGTCGCTAAGGATTTAAAAATCTTATTAAATAAGAATATTAAGTTTATAAAGTTAGTTGCATAATGTTTAATAAATGAACTACATTCATTTATTTCAATACCTACATCTTTAAATATTTAAAAATGAAATACTGTGTAGCTTACTATTACTATTGTATATTATACATTAAAGTTATATGCTAATTTCCCTTTATAAAAAACAATTTATGTTCAAATAATTTTAATGAATTATAAATTTAATTGTGTATTTATTTATTTGTGACATTCAAAATAATTAATGATCTGGTTTCGAGATTATTAATGTAATTTTTTATCATGATATAGATATAATTTTATACATTATTATATGTAATTCGAACTTTTCTATTTTAAATAACTATAATATTTAAATAACTTGAATTAAAGTCACATTCTATTAAAAAAAAATAATAAAGCTGATTATTTTGTTGATCTTATTTTGTGATACTTTTTTCGACAAATATAACATCGCTTGAATTATGTGAAACGCTAATTTTAATTAGTCGTATATTTTAATTAGTTAATATAACTAAATCTCAGATATTTTCTGTACAAATTACATTTTTAAAAAATTTTTCCTTTGTTTCCGACTCATTCTACTTATGAAGAAATGTCTGTTTTTAAATAAAATAATTGAATTGTGAATAATAATATTAACACAGATTTAATGAGCTTCAATCTTTTATTTTTTTATTTATAAAAGCGACGTAATCATTTACAATATTCACGCATCGCAAGCCAGCAAAGTATATAAAATCGTAACCACGGTAACAGGAGTAGTGAAATTGTTATTTTAAAATTAAAATCGTTTTTATGGACCTCTTCACGCTATAGACCGTAAGAACAACGGCCGTGATGACATTGTGTAATGGGTCTTCATAAGAACCACCTTGCATGTTTTACAAGAAATAATAAGAAGTCAGCTTGTTGTGATGTTTAATTAATTAATTTAAGAAATCCAATTAAAATATTTTATTTATGTTTTTATAAGATTTGTTTTTATTAAGTTATTATTTTGTGAATTATTTATGTTCCAAATTAAATTTCGCAATACTTTCTTAAAGATAACACAGGACAACAGTTATTTTGCAATCTTTAATATTTAGATGAAATCTTTATGGAATTTTGATGTTAATTCTGAATCTGGTTTTAGATTTTTTTCATAGCATATAGTTTTTGCGATAATTACTAATTAGTAATTAACAAATTAGAAGTTAAACAATAAATTATAAAAATTAAAAAATAATATATGTATATTTTTTAACTTTTCTAATATAATTTGATTATGTTAAAAAAAATGTTATGCTTATTCGTCAAGTTTAACTGTTATTTAGACTTTTAAATTTGAGTTTAATGGGCATTTTTTAGAAAAATAATCTGAATCAAAGAGTGGAAAACTCTTTGAAGTTAATCCCATATTTATTATGTTACTTTACTAATAATTAAAAATAAAATTAACATGTCATACACACAATCACTTAGTACATCTTCTCAACAACAAACATTATGTATAGCGCAATCTATTTCATCCTATTAGAACTAACAACGATAGTATCAAAACAATTTCAATAGTGATAATTAAAGTAACGAGCTATTTGAATTAGAAATGATATTTTATATTTCTACTAAATATTACGTGAAGCCTTATACGATAAAATAATATTTACACGTGTGGTATAAGCTGAAACAATATCTATGTTAGAATGAAATCATTTAAACACGAACAGCGCAAGTGTTGTCGATAGCAACGTGATAGTGAGAGCCAAGGGGCATTGATTTTTTAATTCCATCCCCTGCCTTTTTCACCCTTTAGAGTTGTTTGTCACATGTTATAGATTAGAGTAACGCTCATAGATGTTTTTACAGGGCCTATATTATTCTATCGAATTCATTTATTAATTACTTCTTTATATTCTTTAGAATGTCGATTTTTAGAAATTGTATTTAGTTTTCCTATGGTATTAATATAATTTATTAAAAACTAATTGCTATGCCCTCCATTTGAAATTATTCATCAGACGAATAACAAATTAAAAGGTAGGATGTCTTTAAATTCCTATATTATTAAACAAAAGAGCGTATTTAAAACTATGATATATTTCTTCTCGATTTTTAAGATTGGAAGATATATTTATTTACTCCTTTATTGTGTACTATCAATTATTAACATGTTAAGTTTTATAATTGATGAGAGATTACAAAAAAAATGTGTTTCCCAGTAAAACGTTTAACTTTTTAAAAAAACATTAGGTAAATTAACTTGCAANTGTGTTTCCCAGTAAAACGTTTAACTTTTTAAAAAAACATTAGGTAAATTAACTTGCAATTGTTATGATTTGTAACATGGTCTATGTTTTATTTGACTAGATATATAATAATTTTATAAAAAAAATATGATTAGTCTTAATATTTAATTAATACTTTATTTGTTAGCTGTTATATATTTGATATTTTCTAATATTTATTTATTTTGTTAAGTTAGTATTTTATTTAAAGATTTAAAAAATAGTGTTTCTATCTTTCTTAATTAATGACTGATTTTTTCTAGATTGAACTTAATTAGATTTAATAAAAATATTTTGTTGATTTTCAAATATTTTCAGTCACAGTTTAAGTATTATTTGGTTGCTTTTAATTAACTAAAATAATGTCTTTTGATTTTTTTACTGTGTACTACCAACTAATATAATGTTCTTAATAAATTATTTATTAGTATGTGGGATGTGATAAATTTTTTCACATTCACATTCTTATAATACATATCGATATTACGTGTAAATATTTATATGACGTGAATGTATATACATTTTATAATAATATTTTTTGTGAACATTACAATCCAGTCATATTTGATGTACAACGTTTTAAAATCGCCAATGTATTTATTTACCATTAAAACGATACAAATTAAAAAAATGTAACCAAACGACAAAAAAATAAAAACATTTTTTAAATTTCTATTATAACATATATTTTTATGATTTATGTTTATAATAAACAGTACCACATAAACAAATATGTGTGAATGTAAATTTAACGCAAATCGATAAATGAAAATTCAAACGAGGGGTGTATGACCCTGATCCATTGTCAGTGTCTATTGTATTGACCTGGTTAGGGTGGTGTTCCCTCTAAAACTTAGTAGTGGCGTGAGTAGAGGGTAAAATAGTCAGCTAGACGGCAAGACTGTGTTAGATAATGAGTCACAGCGTCAGCCGGTCGTGTACTTTTTTGTTATAGTTTTTTAGATTTTTATTATAAAACAAAAGCGATCTTATTTATTGTCAATGAATTCATTGAAATAGTATTTATTATATACCTCGTAACTACTATATCGTAGTACGTATTTATATATTATTTTTCAAATATTATGTACTGTGGTATTAAAAACTGCACTCTTTTATAGGTTCGTGTTATGGAAGAACGTCTCCAAGCAGAATGGAACAGTCATTTACCAGATCAAACCGAAAAGGAGCAAGCTATCAGCAAACTAGCAACTCAAGTAGAAGAACAGGTAAATTCTAAATTTAAATTTTCTATATTTATATATTTTTTAAAACATATTTTTAGCGCCAGTTGAGACTTCAAGATGCCAAAATGGTAGAAGCAAAAGCGGCGCGCATAAAAGAATGGGTAACCAACAAATTAAGAGATTTGGAAGCACAAAACCAACATCTTCGCGAACAAAACCACAAGTGCAATCAACAATTAGAATTACTTAGACGACATATGGCACAGTTAAGTGCTGATAAAATGGCTCAATTAAGTTCCGATAAAATGGCTGTTAGTGCTTGTGCTGGAACATCTGCTCCCCGTACCAGTACTGCATCATTACATAGAGCCAACAGTACTGGTTCCACACAGTAAGTACATAATTTAATCAGATATTCAATTAAGCTGTTGTATTTAATGTTTTATTCATTGATAGTGCTTTGTCTGATAACGAACCAGTTTACGCTCAAGTTGAACGAAATCAAAAATATCGTACTCCAGAACGAACTCAACGAACTCATCGCCGTCACATGTCTGCTTGTTCACAAGTACCTCCGCCTAATTCAACAGTAAATGTATTAGTACCCCCTCATAACCAATTAGCTAATGAATCTATTTCAGCAACAACTGATGCATTAAACTTGAAGTCAGTAAGACGTATGTTATATTTCAATTATGATGCATTTTTTTTTCTATAAAAATATTAAGCTAATTTTTCATTTTTTTAAATTATAAATAGCAAAATCTGTATGCATCGAATCGGATATAATGCATGATTATGCAGAAATATACACTCCAAGTAGAGAAAAATTATCTTGGGACAAATCTAGTAATAAACCACCTACTCCACCTTTGCACAGGTGTCCTTCTTGGGAATCTCGTATTTATCAAGTAGCAAATGAAGGTTTATCAACAGTTCATAGTAGTCATATTGATTCTAATATTCATCAATCTAGAACAATCAATTCTCAAGGATACTGTGATATTAGTGTTCCAGTATATGCTACTGTTAAAGGGGTATTAAATTTATAGCAGATAGTTTGTTATAATCTTATACATTGAATACATTGTTATTATTTTATAGAGAGCTAGTCAGATTCGATCCTGTCCATTTACTGGTGACTCTTCTGATGATTCTAGTGATGGAGAAGGAGAACATACTAATACACCAAACACACACAGTGTTACAACTAGAATAACAAATAGTAGTAGCACTGATAATACTGATACATCCATGTCTAGCTCTAGCCCAAGCAAAAGTCACAAAACTACTTCTACTTTCTCACCAATTAAACATATTTCATCAGGATCACCTTCTAAAAGTATGTAACTTTATGGAAAGATATTTATAACACTTATAATACTTATTATTGTTTGTTTGATATTTAACAGATACCTCAATGGAATCAGGCATATCAGATGATTATGCGATACCTCCTGATGCAATGTCATGTGGTGAAGATTCTGCAGAATGGTCTTCATTGGTGTTAAGACTGAACCTTAATGGAGCTTCTGTAGTGGCTGATAGTCCTAGTAAATGTAATAAAACAGGAGTACTTGATAAATCTGGTCACCTAGCCAAATTAGGTGGAAAATTAAAAACTTGGAGAAGAAGGTTCTTTGTACTGAGTAATGGCAAACTTCGTTACTGGAAAACTCAAGTTAGTAATTTAAAGTTACTTTGATAATAATTATTTGTAATTTAAATTTTAAAATAATTATAATTTAAAAGTATTTTAAAAACTTTATACATGCTGAGTAATATTTATTCTTGTTGTAGAATGATATTTCTCGTAAGCCACAACGTGAAATTACTATCGATGACTTGTGTCGAATTACTAGACAGGATGGTGCTGCTACATTTGAAATATCTACTATTAAAAAAACTTACTACCTCACTGCTGATTCAATTGCAGCTATGGAAGATTGGGTTAAAGTTTTGCAAGTATGTATTTAAAAAAAAAACAAGTTTTAAGTCATCATTACATTTACAATTTATAATTGATGCATTGTTTAGAATGTCCAGAGACATAACGCAACCAGACTTCTTCTGAACAATGAAAACAATAAACCAACAATTCAAGGTTGGCTCACAAAAGTCAGAAATGGTCATGCTAAACGCTGTTGGTGTGTTTTAATTGGCAAAACTTTTTTGTATTTCAAATCTTCAACAGACACTGTAATATTAATTTTGTAATGTTTGTTTTGTATGTATAAATATTTCATTTTTCATGAATTTAGAGTGCTTTTGGTCAAATTAATATGAGAGATTGTCAAGTAGAAACTGTTGATCATTTTTCTGATTCTGATGGTGAAGAACGTGATTCTAACCAACCACCAACTATAGTTTTAAATCCATCTCATCAAGGACCTTCTACTTATCTATTAATGTCTTCTAAACAAGAAAAAGATTCATGGCTATATCATCTGACTGTAGTGTCTGGGAGTGGAAATCAATCTGGATCACAATTTGAACAAATTGTTCAAAAATTATTGGAAGCTTCTGGTGATCCAAGTAATTATATTATAGTTAACTTTTAGAGTGTATAAAATAGTTAATTTATATTTAAAAATATGATTAATTAATTATGCATAAATTAATTATTATTGAATTAAAACCTTATATTTTAAATATATTTTATTAGTTAACTGCATTAATATATATATCTCATTAGATTGTGTACTATGGAAACATCCAATTTTGCTACACTCCAAAGATGCAATAAGTACTCCATTAACTACATTATCTGTTGAATCATTACAATACGAAGCAATTAAGTTGTTTAAAGTAAGATTAATATGAATATTTATTCTTTAATACTAATTGATATTAAACCTACTACTTATTTTTTATTATTGTAAATGTATTATAATTTATAATATATAATTAACAAACTAAGAAAATTCTGTAATGTAGTGTGCCCACAAATTGATGATGAGATCTTAACATCGTTTTAAGTCACATTTGCTATAATAGGCCTTTTGGATAGAACTGGGTAATGTGTTATACACTAGTTAAACTGAAATTGGTTTGTGTTAAATCAACCCTGTGGTTGATAACTAGAAGAAAAATAGGCAGACATTTTTAATTTAAATGACTGAATAGAAAAGAAATGATTAAATAAGAACTATATTTAATTATTTCCTTTTTTTAGAGCTGTCAACTATTTATGTCAGTAGCAATCGAAAATGCAGGAATAGATTATCATGTAGTTTTAGCTCAAAATGCATTACAATTATGTCTTGATAACTGGGAATTACAAGCAGAAATGTTGAGTGCTTTAATCAAACAAACTTCTAGACATGCATCTCATAAACATGGCGTCCAGGTATTCTCCAAACTACGTCATCGTGTAAGTTCCCCATCCCTTTGCTTTTTTTTGGCATTAAAAAATAATATTTTTTCTTTTTAAAATATTCATTTTTTATTTTAATATTAAAAAAAAAATTATTTTAAAGTAAAATAAATTTTCCTGATAGTTTTATAGAAATATATTATTAATAACATAAATAAACATTTTATCAACATTAGTAATTTTAAAATACTACTTTTAATTGTATACTAATAAATATGTTATTTTATAGTAGATGAGAATTTGGATAAAATTGAAAAAAAAATTGGTTTTTATTATTCATTACTTAATAAAATACTTTTAAACCAATTCCAACAAAATATAAAATATTTTCTAAAATTCAGTATTATCATATATTCTCAATTATGAATTAAATCATTTTTATAAAAAAATTAGTTATGAATTACCTAATTTTACTAATTTTGAATTAGTTTTCTACATACAAAGATTATATATAAAAACCTTAAAATTTGGTATTTTATATTATATGTTTAGGATTGATGAATGTTAATTAAACATTTTTGTTAAATTTTTTAGTTTTTCTTTTTTGTAAAATTGATTGTTATAACAATAGAACTCTTAGAGTTATAATTTTAGTTAAAATACCTCTGAAGTTATATAGTTTATAAATAAAATTCAAGAAAAATAATTGGATAAAATATTTAAAAAAATTAATTTATTAGTTTCAATGTGAAGCTGAGAAGATATTAATATTACTATGATGTGTTTATTTATATATATATTTGTTTGTGTGTTGTCACTATTTCTAAGCTCTTACCAGAGAGGTGTGTATGTTATGTACTATAATTAAAAAAAGAACAATGTTGGTTAATCCTCATGCGCAAATGGCCATTGTAGTTAGAAAACATGCAATTTTTGTGCTAAAATTTTTTAATTCGTATTTTAGTTTTTCAACTTTATATTAGTATAACTTTTTGAAGAATGTATGAATTAATATATTTTTTTTTTTGTATGTTCTCTATACATATCCCTTTCATCCAATATACTTTTTTTTTTAATCAGACTATTTTTCTTTATATTGTCAATTGTTAAATTGGCATTTTTAAACAGTCTTGTATGTTCAGTTAAATTGGATGAATTAAGTATCAAATTTCATTTAAAACCATCAACTTTCTTAGCTTTTCTTAAAATTTTGATATATGTTTGCCACGGAGCTAATGAAATATGCAACTACTTTATAATTTTTATAATATTTCTATAAAAATTACAATACTAAATTATCAATTTCAACTACGCCAATATTTATCTGTGAAATATTTAATTGTTATATTATTTTTTAATGCCATGCTTAATTTGTTATTTTTATTAATTAATTATTAATATTTTTAAATTAAATAATTGACTCGTTTATATTTTATTTTTTAAATATTAAAAAAAAACAATGCATATGTGGTTTCTGTCTTAACTGCTAATTTTTTTTAGTAATGATATTTTATAATTTGATATTCTTTTTGGTTGTACAAAACAAATATAATGTTATCTATATTGATAATTTTATTCACAATACATATCTTTAACATTTAATACCATTATCTAGAATAATTATATATGGTTACCACAAGTCTGGAATAACCTAGAAAATCTTGAAAATAAAGAGACTTTAAAATTGCCAGGGAAATCATGAAAATTTTTATTAAAATTATGAAAAATTCAGGGAACTTGAAAAATTTTAAATTGTTGCAACCATTTTATTACTTTATATACTTTAATTGTTATTTTTACTATGATTATATTTTATTTTGTAATATTTTTATTTTAAAATGCAATTTTAGTTATGCCTATTTAAAAAATTAATTTGCAAATCCCATAAAATTCAACAATATTGTGCATGTTTTGCATGATAAATGTAGAAGGGGTTTTAATATTTCTAATTTAATCATGAATAAAGAAAATTAGGCATTTAGGCACCGCATATCCACTGTTTTTTTAGCAACTCTTATTATGCGCTACACAGTCGCTGTTTACGTGTGATGCTGCATTGGCTTCATCTCCAACCATAAGTACAACTCAGTCAATTGTACCAGGATCGCCAAGTCACAGTATTACAGCTCCATCAAGTCCAGCTTCATCATCTTTATTTGATCACTGCAAAGCAAACCCACCTATGTATGTTTTTGTTCAAGGATGGCAATTATTAGCACTTGCTGTTTCTTTATTTGTACCTAAAAATACTAAACTACTGTGGTTTCTAAAATTACATTTGAAGCGTAATATAGATACAAAGTATGTAAACAGGAGTATTAATGTTGAGGTGAAACTAATTAATTAAATTTTTTGCAGGACTGAATGTGGTAAGTATGCAGCTTATTGTGAACGTGCACTTGAACGTACAATAGCAAATGGTGTGCGTGAAGTAAAACCTTCAAGGATGGAGGTACTATCTATTTTGTTAAAAAATCCTTATCATCATTCTTTACCACATTCCATTCCTGTTCATCTGCTCAATGGAACTTATCAAGTAATAAGATTATAATTTATGTCCTTGTTAAAGTATGTTTTTTTAATTGTATATGGTTACAGGTTGCTGGATTTGATGGTTCAACAATAATTGAAGAGTTTTTATGTACTCTTAATCAAGAAACTGGGTGCCGCGACAGTAGTCAGTCAGGTTTTACATTATTTAGTGATGATCCCATTGAAAAAGATTTGGAACATTATATTGAACCTCATGCAAAAGTATGTTAAACTTCATTAACTTAAAAAAAGAAACTAAATTAATTTTGATTTTTTAGCTTTGTGATGTTATATCCAAATGGGAAACAGCATTAAGAGAAAAAGGTTCAGGGAAGTTTGAAAACACTCGGGTTATTCGTCTCATTTTTAAAAATCGATTATATTTCAAATCTTTTGTTAAAAAAGAAACTGATCGTGAAAGATTACTTCTTTGCTATCAAATTAATCAAAAAGTTGTACATGGTCATTTTCCTTTAACTAAAGAACTTGCTCTAGAGCTAGCAGCACTTATGGCACAAGTAAATGCTTATTAATTTATTTTTGTTATCCGTTTGATATTGATAATTTTTTGTATATAGATTGATTTTGGTGAATTTTATTGTGAAAAAAATCGTGGAAGTGGTGGTAATACAAAAGATTTACAAGTACTTCAAGCATTGGACAAATTTTATCCATATCGATATCGTGATGGAGCATCTCAGGAAACAATCAAGTAATTCATGTATATATTTAAAATATTAATTTAAAACTAAAAAAAAATTATGTGTTTTACATCCTTCTATTTCCCAAACTTAACATGCTACAGAAGGTGGATTCTCTTTTTTACATGTTAGGAAGTCAAAGGTGGTTATTGGCTAAGCCATTGTAGAATGGGAATGAGTATTATGGTGCACCAGAAACCAGACACCAACAATGAGAAAATCACAAGAAAAATCTCATTCACGCCTTAATGATTGAACTTAGGACCTTGCACACTGAAACATACGTTTCTACCCAATAGGCCAGGCCAATCCTTTTTAAATTACAATATATTTAACTAAAAAATCAAGTTTACGTATTTCTGGAGCAATGTAATCATCATCATGTATATGTGTTAAGCACTGATGGTAGTAACATTGTTACAGAAATACGTAAACTTGATATATNTTACGTATTTCTGGAGCAATGTAATCATCATCATGTATATGTGTTAAGCACTGATGGTAGTAACATTGTTACAGAAATACGTAAACTTGATATATTAGTAATTTTTGTGGCTTTTTAGTTTTTTTATTATATTTTTTTAGTTTTAAATTAATATTTTAAATATATTTTTAATCTTACATAATATTTGATATAAGTGATCAATTTTTTTTATATATTAAATTACTAAAATTTAATTTTATAATTAGACACCTTCAAACTGGATTGCAAGATAAGTGGATTTCTCTTAAAGGACGAACAGTATTAGATTGTGTAAGAATATATCTCACCTGCACTAGAAAATGGCCTTATTTTGGATGCTCGCTCTTTCAAGCTAAAGTACATATTATATTTAGATCTATTAATTTTTTTTTTTTTTTTATGAAAATAATAAAAAAATTTGTATTTTTTATAAAGATGAAACATGGAGAAAACACAATTTTGTCAGGTACTATTGTGTGGCTTGCTGTTTCTGAAGATAGCGTTAGTTTGCTAGAATTAAGATCTATGCAACTTATTGAAACTTATATGTATGATCAAGTTCTAACTTTTGGAGGATGTCAAGATGATTTTATGTTAGTTATTGCATCTGAATCTGCTATTATTGAGTCTCATAAGCTTTTATTTTCTATGAGCAAACCAAAGGTAAAAAATAAAAATAAAAGCCTACCAGTTAAATAATTTAGTATTTTAATGCATTTTAATTCACAGATTCTTGAAATAACTTTATTAATTGCTGACTATATGAATGCTCTTGCACTAAATAATACATCAAATTCAACACCAAATTCTCTCAACAGGAATATGCAGCCTGATATTCTCAAAGCTACTCCAGACCATCAAATACACAGGACTGAATCCCAGAATAAAAAGCGAATTGACTCGTGACAATAAAGTATTATTATTCAACTTTGGTATAAACGATATACCTCTTATGAATATTCTATGCGTAATAAATATTGAATTAATAAACTTTAAATTATTTAAACTTATACCTGAATAATTTAAATTAATACTACAATTTTTATTGTTGTCTAAATTGTTTTACTTTAGACATTATTATAAGACAACTTTATGATACTAGTTTTTACTGTCAGTTTGAGGTCTATATTAACTCAATATTTAGCCTAATTATGTTACCATAAGATTTAAACAAATCTTATTAATAAACTTATTGTGCATTGATATATAAGCAAAACTTAAAATAGCATTATATAAGAAAATTGCTATTGCCATAAAAAACAGACTGTCATAATTTACTTGTTCTACTCTCCTTATGGGTGAAGTAAAGTAAAACCCGCATTGATTTTTATTACTTAAATGAAAAATTTTAAATTAGGTAATATTTATTACTTTGTATTGTGTATTCATTTTTATTGTTACTATGTTTGAATTTATAAAAATTGGAGTCTGACTAAAATAATGTTACATTTTATTCTTAAAACCTCAGTAGTAATTTTTTTTAGTGTATTAATTTAATTAATTTTTTGTTTTAAATTCAAATGTACAATTCTACCAAAGGAAATTGTACCTTATTGTTTTTTTAATATTAATTTTCAATAAAATTTTGTGATTAACGAACTTAACATCACATTATTATTTGAATAAACATAAAGGTTGTGCTATATTTTTATTTTGTACAAAATGATTAAATAAAATTGCAATGATTTGTTATATGTAAAAAAATTAACTTGAGCATACTAAAAATTTTTTTAGAATTTGTATTGTGTTAATTTTTTTCCTTTCCAAAATCTTCTTTTCTATACCAATTTTCTAGTATGCCTAATTATTTCATAATTAAAAGATTTTATTATTAGCATTGGATATATTTCTAGGAAAGAATAAATAAAAACTATATCTCCACATGAAATTTCTACAGAACATAATTATTTTATATTGGAAGTACACTCTTGCCGAGTCCGAGAGTGATCCAGATATTCCTCATCCTGACAAAATGTTTACTGAGAGGTTTTGGGATAGGTGTATTGCTACCAATATACGTTATATATATTAAGATGATCTTTAGTTATAGATGAAAAACATTATATTAAGAATTTCTTTAATCTTTTGCTTCAAAATTGTAAAATATATGTAAAAATAAACCAAAAAAATTTCAAGTCAATTATACGATTTTAACCCGTCTCTGCTCGGGGTTGAGAATTGATTAACAAGGGTAATATTGTCGCTATTTACATGAAACTTAAAAGAGTACTCGCAGAAAAAAAACTGAATGTAAATTGTAGATATAAATGTTTTTTATAAATCAAGTACTTTTTGCTAAATCCATCAGTTAGTTAAACATATGTTTTTATTAAAAAAAATAAAGTTTGTAAAATTTTAAGAGGAAAAGAAGAAGTATAATGGGCAAAGTGTGAATTAAAAGGGCAACTTGAGAATTTACCACATTCTAATTTTTTAGTACACATTTAGCCCCACATTGTACTAAAACGCTATTTTAGTGGGACAAAATTAATCAACATTTCTACTTTTGAATAGAAAAAAGGTTAAAAATAATGTTTTTAAGATTACTAAATTCAAATATTTTCAATATCTCTCCTTTTAGGGGAAAATCATAGAAGACCTTTCATTAGTTTAAATAAATTTTTGATCTAATATGTCAAAACATGTTATTTATTTTAATAATTATCTTTTTCATTGTTAAACTCAATTCTACAAACTAGCGTAACGTCAAAATATTATATGTTCTTTACGTTAAAATTTTATAAAAAAAAAAATCATAAAGCCATTTTTTGAAAACAGTTTTTTTTTATATAAAATTAGTTTTGTTACAGATTAGGTTATATTACAAAGATAAATCACAAGCGGCTTTGTAAAATGATGGGCCGCCTAAAAATTTGCCCGATAATTATAATCTGAAATAATGCCTCTGATAAGGGTTACTTCCAAAAAAACATACAAAACCGACATTTTTACACATTTCACAAAAAAAATCTTACAAATTTTGTTTTTTAAACGATTTTTTTTTAATACTTTTTTCTGAATTAAAAAATGTTGCTATTATAGTATAAATATTTTCAAATAGTCGTGTAGATAGAACCCTATTCAGAGTGTCCCAACAATTTTTGACATCTTTAATAACTTTTGATCCATCAGATGCTTTAAATTATTTTTTTATTTTTAAGAATTTTCATAAGTTATAAAAATGTCAAAACCTGGTGGGATGCCTGAATAATTTGATTTTAGCTTCGATGCGAATCTGAGAAGGTATTAATTTTACTATGATTTGTTTTTATTTATTTATTTATTTTTTGTGTCTGTTTACACTTTTTCTCAGTCCTCACCGAACCGATTTTTTTCAACGATACGTCAAAATATCACAAATCGTATCTAGTTGAAGACATAATCCTTAAAAATTGAAAAAATTTCACTCGTTCCCCGTAAATGGGGGAAATCTTCAAAAAAATTACAAATTTAAAAATCACTAATTTTTTTAACTTAAAACTGCCATACTTTTTCAAAAATGAACAAATCAATATTACTTTTTTTTTTTATAGATACATAATGTCTTTTCATTTGATAAATACTTATCATTTATAAATTTGACTTTTAACTTGCCCACAGAGAGGATTCAAAATGATAACTTTTTCACAAAAAATTAACTTTTGAAAGTGTTCCGGAAAAACTACACTTTTATATATCTTAAATTAAAGCTTATGTAATATACTTTAATATTAAAAAAAAATTTTGGACTATTTTGTCTTCACGGTAAAAATAGATACCAAATGCTATTTTTGTGTGAAAATTCTCGATTTTATTTTTTTAATTTTTAACTTTATAATGCTATATTTTATTGAAAAGTGTATTTACCAACACAGTTTTTTATTGAGAAATAATATTTATATCCCTTTTTTATTTGACATACTTTATCTTAATCAGGATATAAATAAGAAAATAGCAGATCATGTAGCTTTTCGAATAATCCACCAATTTTTTAAAATTAAACACTATTTAAAGATTTGCATTGAAGCGTTTTTTATGATAGTGGTTTTAATAACCACTGTGCCGCGACCGCTCTGTGCTGGTTTTTTTTTTTTTGTTAAATTATTGTTTATCAAAAAAAAAAAATTAATGTGGATAGTAATTATATAATTATTTATAATAACCGTGACTTTACTGTAAAACAACTGTAGCAAAGTGTAGACGTGCTATAGTTAGAACAAGTATAGATGACATCTAACGATGATTAAAATCGCCATCATAAGAAATGCTTCAAAACAAATCTGTTGATGGGGTTTATTTTTAAGAAATTGATGGATTATTCTAATTATTCTTATTTCCTTATTTATATCCCGATTACAAATTTTATGCAATATTAGTGTTTTATATGAATAAATATTTAATAAATTTGTTAAACTTCGACGGCCATTTGTACATAGAAGATAGGTCGTCAGGACAAATATTTTTTTAATGACAACATTCATTTTAAATTAATTTATAAAATAGATAATGTTTTAATTAAAAAAAGACTCGTCGATAATGTAATGACAGTAGGTGAGGAGTGGGTGCTGTTATTTTTTATTTTATCTCTGAATATTTAGCAGATTTTATTTAGATAGAAAAATGTTGGTCTCTATGTGTGTTGCTATCATATTTAATGTAAGTTCGAAATAAGAACTTATGCATTTATCTAAAAAAATACATTTATAATTACCTCACTTCACCCTAGATACATTTTTAATGAAGTTAAAATTAAAAGATTTGCGAAAACGCTGTGTAAACAAATAATGTTTGATTTTGGCTTTTAACTATAAAACCATTTTGATTTATTATGAAACGTTTGTTGTTTAAATTTCACAGCCAACATTTTTGAGAGAAAAAAACCTCTATTTTTTCAAATTAAATTGGTCAGTAAATTCAAAATAAATTTATGTACACTATTGAGTAATTACTTTTGACTATTGTGTAATATTGTCCTGTCATATTAATCGAATTATATTTAAATAAAATTGAATCCACTTTTTCAAAAATATAAATAGTTCAAAAAACCTATGTTTCGGAAAAAAGAAAAAAAATGTGTTATTTAATAAATAGTACATTTGTTGGTTTTAATAAGTTGAATTTTTTAAAAATTTCTGAGGAATATAAGACGTATAAGAAATCCAAAACTACAATAAAATATTTTCTATTTTTTTTACTACTAGAGTTTATGAAACAACTGATTCAAGTACTCTCGATGCTATTATTAAAAAAAAGATCATTATATATTGAATTATTATGATGTTAAGTCATTTTTTTGCACATATGTGATGAAAAAAATATATAGCCGTACAAATGTTGTTAGGTATCAAATAACAACAATGAAAACATAGAAATGCTGAAAAGTATCCAGTTAATTATGATATACAAAAATTAAAAAGTCAAGGTTTTCTGTATTTATTTAAAGTAAATAATATTAAGTTATAATATATTTGTAAAGATATTTTCTTCAAATTTCCCATTAAAATAAAATACGTGTCAAGACGTTTAGAGCATTCGTCATTTTAGGCAATCAAATTTTTCAGGAGAACCTAATGAAATTACCTGAGTAAGCTGAAGTAAGAGCTTAGAGTTTACTAAATTACTCTATAAGAAATAATATAGACGATTCCTGCACTCCCAAAATGTAATATAGCAAAATTATAACATTGTTATAAAAAAATTATTTTTTGGAGAGGAAAAAATTTAATTTAGCCCCTCTAAAAAAAGAAGATTACATATACAATTATTTCTTCCAGAAGATGATATTAGTATTGAAAATATGAATACGACAGGAGTAATATTGGTTTTTTTTCTATGAGTAATTGGATTAAATTTCTGTGAAAATTGGTAACTTTTTTCATTTTACTATGACTTTTTCAAAATTACACTGTTCTTATCCTAATGAATTTTATAAAGGAAACACAAAAGACATTAACCTTTCTTTTGGCATGTTTTTTATGGATTTCTCATGAATTATCATGGTCAGGAAAGATGTAAAAGAAAACGTCTAACAACTTTTAACCTATATCAAATTAAAACTTTTGAAGTGAACTATAGTATTAAAAAAGTTTGTCTCAACTATTATTCTACTATTAGAAATTTTAAATATAAAATATAATTTTATTTTTAATTATCACAAATATCCTAGGATGTCTGACTTACTCTATATTAAATTTTTTAAACAAACGTAATTATTAAAAAAAAATTAATAAATAAATTTAACAGGTTCGCATTAAAACATGTTATGACAGTTATGATAATCTTTGTCAAATATCATCTATACTCCTATCAATGATTTTATATTACAAGTGAAAGAAGGACATGTATAAAAATTCGTATTATTTGACATTTTGATATACTCAATATAGTTTATTAGTGGCGTAGCCAGGTTTTCATAATAAAGAGTCCAAAAAAAATTTTTTAAATATTGGACCGTATTTTTTTTCTGCTTATCATTTCATTTTAAAGATGAAATATATCATTAGTATATTATAATATTCGCTGCCAATATATATATCCTGAGAATATTTCAAAGTATTCTGATTATATTCTAAATATATTTTAATACCAATAAGATGTACTTTAAGAATATTTTAGTAATATTGCTATTAAATCAATTGTTTGAGTAATCTTCTTAATACAATTTGGCATAAAACACAATATTTTAATGGAACAAAACAATACTATTGAGTGAATTGATTATCTTGATGGATATTGAACAATAACGTATTTCTTTTTTGACT